TGCAGCCACCTGTTGTTGGCTCATTCCTGCTCGAACCATTCCAATGGCGTCATGTCGTTGAGCAGATGCTATCTTGGCATGTGCATGTGACTTCTCCCGTGAATTTGTGAACGTTTGAATGACCAAAGATCAAGCTTTCGACAGTGACAGCAATTTCTGAGTTTCACATGTGTGCAGCTGCACTGGGCTGCACTTGCAGTAACATTGCAAGTCCATAGGCCACCATCAATTACGTCACGTCGCCTGGCACGTGCATGAGCGTTTGATTGTCTCCAATACTTGCTGTGTTACGTATAATGACGCTGTGTGCCTATATTTATATTTTCTGTGTGCACAGTTCCTTTATGTGGCTGTATATATTTACTGACACGTTATGTGCCTCTGGTGAGATGGATTCTGCCTGTTATTTAATCTCAAATTGGTTATCCCATAAGGATTCTTTTACAGAATTTGATCCAGTGTAGCCCATAGGTGTCAGGGTAAGACCATGGTATGTATTGGTGTGAGTGGTTAATTGGGGATTTAAGTACTCCCAACTTAGTAAGTCTGAATTATTGCACACCAGAGTAGATCTTTGTTTTGGTCAACTCTGCAGGTCAATGAAAAGAAATGAGTGAGTTTCGTTTTATGCCGCATTTAGAAATATTCCAGCAATATCATGATGGGGGACACCAGAAATGAGCTTCACAATTGTACCCATGTGGGGAATCGAACCCAGGTCTTCAGCATTACGAGCAAACGCTTTAATCACTAGGCTATCCCACAGCCCCCAATGAGAAAAAAGAAGAAGAAATTGTTCTAATGATTGTTTTTTAAGAATAAATACTCCAAAGCAATACAGAGCAAAAGTAAAGGCAAAATATCAAATCGAAATAACAGCTGATCAATAAGGGTTGAAACATGCTACTACAATTTATGTTACATTTTAGCATTACACAGGTCCACATATTTATTAGTTTTACCTTAAGACTCCAATCAGAAAGCTGCTTTCTCAATACTGCACTAGTTGAAAAATATTTTCACCCAAAAGCGCGCGCGAGAGAGAAATGATAATTCTGATGGAATCAGTTATACATCTCGTAAATGTGATTTAGAATAGGCTGCATAGCCTTTTCAATGTTGAATCAACCTCATCTGGCAAGTGATTCTCTGTTTGTTTGGATGGAAGGCCATTCGGACATGATACATGATGTGGATGTCCTCAGATCCTTTTTTGTAGGTTGCAAGAACTTATTATATAAGATCTGATTTTAATGAAACTGAATTTTAACTATGTTCAAAGAATACATGTCAGAACTAAGGTCCAGTATGGAGAAGTCCAACCCCAAGTGATACATAAACATATCAGAAGTGATTAAATGTATTTAATTTTCAAGCATTCAAAACCTTGACCGTCCACCTAAAATCAGCATATATTCACTTAAGGACGTTTGAAAAGGCCAGCCAAAAAAGTTCCATATTTGTCAGTGATCATAACAATTTATCCATGATGTCTTTTTGTGTGAGCCTTTGAATTTTGTAGATAGTTATTTTGAAACTTTTTTTGCTGTTCATTTTTACTGGTAGGTATATACACCAAACCACAGCTGCATACTGGTGTACTGAATAAATTTCAATCACTGATTGTTATGAAAATGACCTTATTGTCCAAAATACAAAAATCAAAACCAGCATCACATGTTCACTTATTACTGAAAGACCTGGAATTAACTTTGCACGGTCAAACCAGCACTGATTAACTTTATAGGAAAGTCAAAATGTCCATTTATCATATTTTCTATTGTACAGTCAAGACAAAATAAACACAAGCATTGTCACTAAGGTGACATAATCCCCTGCCGCAGATTATCAAATCAAACTTATAAAGTAATGAAAGTTTAAGTCAAATGTCAACAAAAACATGACCAGTCAACCTCTCTTGATATCTTGCTCTTTAGGTGTTCAAACACACACATATTTTCAACACTGACTTTGACCTTGACATGAATGTCATAGTGTATGAAATATGCAAAAATAGTACTAAAGAAATTGCTTATTGAAAAACATTTAAGGGAAGTTTTGAAAGTTTTTGAAGAAAATCCAGTGAAACGTTCTTGAAATATCTTGCTGACAATTCAGGTTAACATGCTGAAATCTTCAAAGTGTCTCTGTGACCTTGAAAATTAAGTGAAGGTCACCAAAATCGACACGGCCCTACACCTTCCCTGGATGAAGCTTGGTGTCAAATATGAAGAAACTCCAGTGAATGGTTTTTGAGGTATCTCGCTGAAAAGCATAACCTGCAGGTTAATATACTGAAATCTTCAAAGTGTCTCTGTGACCTTGAAAATTAAGTGAAGGTCACCAAAATTGACTGGGCCCTGCCCTTCCCTAGATGAAGCTTGGTTGCAAATATGAAGAAAATCCAGTGAACGGTTCTTGAGATAGCTTAACATGCAGGTAAAACGTTCAAGTCCCCTTGTGACCAAACCTGACTTGGACCTTTCTTATACTGTGATGAACCTAGGTACCAAATATGAAAAGAATCTAGTGAACATTTCTTAAGATATTCCAATTCCTACGGACGGACAGACGAACAGAGCCTAATACTATATCCCCCGTTTCGTGCTAAACGCGCGGCGGGGGATAATAATACACATCTAATTCAAGCACAGATGATATGATTACTTGTCAGTCATTTGCTTCACAATATACAGAAAAGTAAATACGGTAAATGTTATACTGTACCTGTTAATCTTAAAATATACTGGATAAAAATAGTTAGGGATATATGTAAATTTTGACATTATGAATAATGATCTATTTATTCACTGACACACTGATAAAATATCAATAATAAAAATACCAATATCCCTAACTTATTTTGTCCAGTATATAATGGTACAATGCAATAATACTATGTTTTCTAGATCTTTTCATTCACACAAATGTGTGACATGACGATACAGCATTCAAGGTGCAGTTCAAATTGAAATAAGGAAAAAGGCTTTCAATATATTCCTGTGTTCTATTACAACAAAATGTAGATTTCACATTTGTAAAGCATGATAGAAATACAAAAAACTGTTTGTTTTCAACTATTGAGACATCAATGAATGCTAATCAACTAATACAAAGCATACTAAGTATGATCAATTAACAAAAATATTGGAACTGATTAAACACAAACATGTAAATTTGTAATTTTCACACAGCAATATCTGAATTAGGTCTACAAGAAACACAAATATCAAAATTCTCTCGACTAATTAGATTTGCATAGCTACTGTAGCGAGTATAAACATTCACTGTGATCACTTTTTAAAATCAACAAAGAAGCAAGAAGTAATAGAAGCAAACCTAAAGAAATGAAAAAACTGCAACATACATATTTGTATGTGTCAAATGACATCACTATTGTCAGTCGCTAACTTCCAACTCATGTATCAGCTATTAGGTAACACCATACATCCTAATATGACTTTCCCATGTTCATAATGGAGGCACATCTCATCACAAAACAGTATTTTACAAAGAAAACATTGCTTTCAGTCGTAAGTACATATGCAGTTTAGTAACAAGTTAGTTATCTAAATACATATCTAAATATAGCACAAACTCATAAATAAAAGAGGTGCATATTCCTATACTAGTATATCAACACAGGTACCTAATCAATATCTATAGTCATGGAAACGAATAAGGTAACACATGAAAGTACAAGTGTTCCTTTATTTATTCCCATAATTTCACCCACAGTGTAATAGATACCTTGTGAAGAAACCTGGAAAACAATAAGCAGTGGTTGTATGTCTAAGATACTTTTGTATCAGGTCAATATCTAGATGAATGATATATCATCAAGGATTTAAGGCAGATTTGAGTGATACTACTATCAGGTCCATATTTACACCAAGGAAAACTCAGTATACAGTGTATGTGAAAGATACTACTGTATCAGGTCCATATTCACACAATCATTTCTCTTAAGGTTACACCAACATTGGGTTTATTTCATATCAGCTTAGTATTGTTGGAATAATATTTGAGTTGGTCATACATGCAAATGATAATATCTGTATTATCTAAAATACTGGTGTATTAGGTCCATAGTTACATCAATGACATTTCATCAAAGTGTCTTAGGTTTACATCAAGAAAAGCTCAGGATACAGTCTATTTGAGTGATACTAGTGTATCAAGTCCATATTTACATCAAGAAAAGCTCAGGATACAGTCTATTTGAGTGATAATAGTGTATCACGTCCACATTTGCATCATAATCCATGTTTGTAAGGTTACAACAGTGGGTGTATTTCTAAGATACTACTGTATCAGGTCCATATTTACATCAAGAAAATTTCAGGATACAGTGTGTTTGAAAGATACAAGTGTATCAATTGCATATTTACATAATCATCTTTCTTTTCAAGTTACACCAACATTGGGTTTACTTCTAATATACTGGTGTATTACGTCCATATGTACATCAAGGAACACTCAGGATACAGTCTAATTGAAATATACAAATCTATCAAGTCCATACTTACATCATAATCCTTTTCTTCAGGTAACATCAACATTGGGTTTAATTTTAGGATACTACTGTGTCCGGTCCATATTTACACCAAGGAAAACTCAGGACACAGTGTATTTGAAACATAACAGTGTATCAAGTCCATTTTTACATAATCATCTTTCTTTTTAGGTTACACCAAGAGTGGGTTTATTTCTAAGATACTGGTGTATTAGGTCCATATGTTTTGGGGTATATATATTTGCATGCTACTTGCGTACTTGCATCAGGTCCATATTTACATCATAATCTTTTTTGCTTGGTTACACATACATTGGGTTTATTTCTAAGATACTACAGTATCAGGTCCAGATCTTCATTAGTAATACTTTGACAAGATCATAATAAGTGATAATATTTCATCAAGGTTAAATCATCATTGGGTTTACTCACAACATACAAATCTTTCAGGGTCATATTTACATCAATAATATTTTAGCAAGGACACATCAGCTTAGTATTGTTTGAATAATATTTGAGTTGGTCATACATGCAAAGGATATATCTGTATTATATACTGGTGTATTAGGTCCATATTTATATCAAGGAAAGTTCAGGATACAAAGTATTTGAAGGAAACTAGTGTATCAAGTCCATATTTACATCATAATCAATCATTTAAGGTTACAACAGCATTGGGTTTCATTTTAGGATACTACAGTATCAGGTCCATATTTACATCAAAGAATACACAAGATACAATATTTGAAAGATACTACTGTATCAGGTCCATATTTACATCAAAGAATACACAAGATACAATATTTGAGAGATACTGTATCAGGTCCATATTTACATCAAAGAATACACAAGATACAATATTTGAGAGATACTACTGTATCAGGTCCATATTTACATCAAGGAAAACTCGGTATACATTGTATTTGAAAGATACTACTGTATCAAGTGCATATTTACATCACAATTCTTTTCTTTAGGTTACACATGCATCGGGTTTATTTCTAAGATACTACAGTATCAGGTCCAACTAAATTAGTAATATTTTGACAAGAACATAATAAGTGATAATATTTCATCAAGGTTACATCATCATTGGGTTTACTCACAACATACAAATCTTTCAGGGTCATATTTACATCAATAATATTTTAGCAAGGACACATCAGGTTAGTACTGTTTGAATAATATTTGAGTTGGTCATACATGCAAAGGATATATCTGTATTATATACTAGTGTATCAAGTCCATATTTACATCATAATCAATAATATAAGGTTACAACAGCATTGGGTTTCATTCTAGGATACTACTGTATCAGGTCCATATTTACATCAAAGAGTACACAAGATACAATATTTGAGAGATACTACTGTATCAGGTCAATATTTACACCAAGGAAAACTCAGTATACATTGTATTTGAAAGATACTACTGTATGAAGTGCATATTTACATCACAATTCTTTTCTTTAGGTTACACATACATCAGGTTTATTTCCAAGAAACTACTGTATCAGGTCCATATCTAAATTAGTAATATTTTGACAAGAACATAATAAGTGATAATATTTCATCAAGGTTACATCATCATTGGGTTTACTCACAACATACAAATCTTTCAGGGTCATATTTACATCAATAATATTTTAGCAAGGACACATCACGTTAGTATTGTTTGAATAATATTTGAGTTGGTCATACATGCAAAGGATATATCTGTATTATATACTGGTGTATCAGGTCCATATTTACATCAAGGAAACTTCAGGATACAGTGTATTTGAAAGAAACTAGTGTATCAAGTCCATATTTACATCATAATCAATAATATAAGGTTACAACAGCATTGGGTTTCATTCTAGGATACTACTGTATCAGGTCCATATTTACATCAAAGAATACACAAGATGCAATATTTGAGAGATACTACTGTATCAGGTCCATATTTACATCAAAGAATACACAAGATACAATATTTGAGACATACTACTGTATCAGGTCCATATTTACATCAAAGAATACACAAGATACAATATTTGAGAGATACTACTGTATCAGGTCCATATTTACACCAAGGAAAACTCAGTATACATTGTATTTGAAAGATACTACTGTATCAAGTCTATATTTACATCACAATTCTTTTCGTTAGGTTAAACATACATCAAGTTTATTTCTAAGATACTACTGTATCAGGTCCATACTTAATTAGTAATATTTTGACAAGAACATAATAAGTGATAATATTTCATCAAGGTTATATCATCATTGGGTTTGCTCACAAGACACAAATCTTTCAGGGTCATATTTACATCAATAATATTTTAGCAAGGACACATCAGGTCAGTATTGCTGAATAATATTTGAGTTGGTCATACATGCAAAGGATATATCTGTATTATATACTGGTGCATCAGGTCCATATTTACATCAAGAACAGTTCAGGATACAGTTTATTTGAAAGATACTAGTGTATCAAGTCCATATTTACATCATAACCAATCTTTTAAGGTTACAACAGCATTGGGTTTCATTCCAGGATACTACTGTATCAGGTCCATATTTTAACCGAGGACAACTCAGGATACAGTGTGTTTAAAAGATACTAGTGTATCAAGTCAATATTTACATCAAGGACAACTCAGTATACAGTGTGTTTGAAAGATACTACTGTATCGGGTCCATATTTACATGAAAGAACACTCAGGATACAGTGAGTTTGAAACATACTAGTGTATCAGGTCCATATTTACATAATCATCTTTCTTTTCAGGTTACACCCACATTGGGTTTACTTCTTATATACTGGTGTATTACGTCCATACGTACATCAAGGAAAACTCAGGATAGTGTCTAATTGAAACAGACAAATCTATCAAGTCCATATTTACATCTTCATCCTTTTCTTTAGGCTACACCAACATTGGGTTTAATTCTAGGATACTTCTGCATCAGGTCCATATTTATACCAAGGAAAACTCTGGACACAGTGTATTTGAAAGATACAAGTGTATCAAGTCCATATTTACATAATCATCTTTCTTTTCAGGTTACACCAACATTGGGTTTAATTCTACGATACTGTTGTATTAGGTCCATCTGTACATCAAAATCCCTTTTTGTTAGGTTACAACAGTGGGTTTATTTCTAAGATACTACTGTATCAGGTCCATATTTACATCAAAGAATACACAAGATATAGTCTATTTGAGTGATACTGGTGTATGAAGCCCATATTTACACCAAGGAAAACTCAGTATACAGTGTATTTGAAAGATACTACTCTATCAGGTCCATATTTACATCAAAGAATACACAAGATACAGTCTATTTGAGTGATACTGGTGTATCAAGCCCATATTTACACCAAGGAAAACTCAGTATACATTGTATTTGAAAGATACTACTGTATCAAGTGCATATTTACATCACAATTCTTTTCTTTAGGTTACACATACATGGGGTTTATTTCTAAGATACTACTGTATCAGGTCCATATCTAAATTAGTAATATTTTGACAAGAACATAATAAGTGATAATATTTCATCACGGTTATATCATCATTGGGTTTACTCACAACATACAAATCTTTCAGGGTCATATTTACATCAATAATATTTTAGCAAGGACACATCAGCTTAGTATATTTGAATAATATTTGAGTTGGTCATACATGCAAAGGATATATCTGTATTATACTGGTGCATCAGGTCCATATTTACATCAAGAAAAGCTCAGGATACAGTGTATTTGAAAGATACTAGTGTATCAAGTCCATATTTACATCATAACCAATCTTTTAAGGTTACAACAGCATTGGGTTTCATTCTGGGATACTACTGTATCAGGTCCATATTTACATCAAAGACAACTCAGTATATGGTCTATTTGAGTGATACTGGTTATCAGGTCCACATTTACACCAAGGAAAACTAAGGATACAGTAAGTTTGAAAGATACTGGTGTATCAAGCCCATATTTACATACCGGTAATCATCTTTCTTTTCAGGTTACACCAACATTGTGTTTATTTCTAATGTACTGGTGTATTAGGTCCATATTCACATCAATGAAAACTCAGGATACAGTCTAATTGAGTGATACTAGTGTATCACGTCCACATTTACATCATAATCCATATATATTAGGTTACAACATTGGGTTTATTTCTAAGAAACTAGTGTATCAAGTCCATATTTATATCAACTCAGGATACAGTGTGTTTGAAAGATACTAATGTATTTAGTCCATATTTACATCATAATCCATAATTTAGGTTACAAGAACATTGGGTTTAATTCTAGGATACTACTGTATCGGGTACATATTTACACCAAGGACAACTCAGGATACAGTAAGTTTGAAACATACTAGTGTATCAGGTCCATATTTACATAATCATCTTTCTTTTCAGGTTACACCCACATTGGGTTTACTTCTAATATACTGGTGTATTACGTCCATACGTACATCAAGGAAAACTCAGGATAGTGTCTAATTGAAACATACAAATCTATCAAGTCCATATTTACATCTTCATCCTTTCTTTAGGCTACACCAACATTGGGTTTAATTCTAGGATACTTCTGCATCAGGTCCATATTTATACCAAGGAAAACTCAGGACACAGTGTATTTGAAAGATACAAGTGTATCAAGTCCATATTTACATAATCATCTTTCTTTTCAGGTTACACCAACATTGGGTTTAATTCTACGATACTTCTGCATCAGGTCCATATTTATACCAAGGAAAACTCAGGATACAAGTGTATTTGAAAGATACAAGTGTATCAAGTCCATATTCACATAATCATCTTTCTCTTTTGGTAACATCAACAGTGGGTTTATTTCTAACATACTGGTGTAGTAGGTCCATATTTACATCAATGATATTTCAGCAAAGATTTAGGGTATACTTGCATGCTACTTGTGTATCAGGTCCATATTTACACCATGGAAAGCTCAAGATACATTAAGTCTAAAACATACAAGTATATCAAGGACATATCTACATCAATACTATTTCATCAGAGTTATATCAAGACAGGATTATTTTTGTAAAATACTACTCTATTAGGTCCATATTTACATCAATAATATTTTGATAAGGTGCTATAAAGTTATAATATGTTGTCTAGGTCACCTCAATATATAGCAATATTTGTGTGATAGTGGTGTATCAGGTCCATCTTGAAATCAACAATATCATTAACAATAAGTTTACTTCCAAGATACAAATCTTTCAGGTTCATATTTACATCAATAATATAAGGCCATGTAAACTTAAGTCATTTATGAATAATATATGAGCAGGTCACATAGGGAAAGGATATATCTGTAGGATACCACTGTATCAGGTCCATATTTACATCATATTTTGCTATCGAAACCAACATTGGGTTTACTTGATATTTACATTAGCATTATATAATGGTCACATCAACATATGATGTATCAGGTTCATATACTCATAGAAACAAATAAGGGAACACATGAAAGTACAAGTGTTCCTTTATTTATTTCCAGAATTTCGCTCACAGTGCAATAAATACCTTGTTGAAGCAACCTGGAAAGCATAAAGGAACACTTGTACTTTCATGTGTTCCCTTATTCGTTTCCATGAGTATAAATACAAATAAAATATTCAAATGAGTAATATCATCAAAGCAATTGTATGCACAAAGTACAAGAGTTTTAGGTCCATATCAACATCAATAGATTTGTTCAAGGTCATGACATGTGGCATATTTTTAAGAAACCGGAACATTATTTCCTTATTTACAGAATACTGATAAAGGCAATATCAGTAGTTTCTTTGTTTTGTTGCTGGTATCAATAAAATTTTCAAGTTGGCACATACATGCATGACTGCATGTTGGTGTATCAGAGTTTAAAAAAAATTTAAATGCAGGTGAAAACTTTAAAAATGGTTTCTTGTCCAGATATGTAATTGAAAAAATATATATCCAATTAAAGTAGTCCATATCTATGGGACAAGACTGAAGACATCAGTAATCTAGTTTGGATCAGCAAAGACATGTGGGGATTGGTTGGCTATAATAAACAACAGGTTCAAATAACTGAGGCCCAATTTGGCCTCTGCAAGAGGGTCAATATTAGTCAGAACAAAACTGCACAAACATAAGCATATTAGATACAGTTCAGTTAATTACAGACAACATAGACACCAAATACCACTATCATTTTAGGTTTCAAGTTTCATTACCAATAGTAATATAAGTACATAGAGAAATGAAACGTGATATGCATAAGAAATACATGTAATATACATAAGTAATGCTATAGATGCATTAATCATAAAAACAAATTAAAACACACTCAAACTCAGTGTATGATGAAGATGTGCCTCATTACAAACATAGCTCCAATTTCTTTTCATAAGTTATTCAACTCATTTCATGCACAAACACCTGTCTTCTATCCTTTGTCTTCAGTTTCTGTGAACCTAAAAGAAACAAAATGACCTTTCAAAAAAAAAGCATTAACCAAAAGACAAGTAATAGAATAGAGCCACAAGGTGCTGTTGCTCACCTGAATTTGTATTTTAGACTCTTGGTAATTATATGTGCATGTTGTGGACCAAACCATCACTTTACCTAAACCTAGAGAAATCTGAGGCAGGTGAATGTACTAAGACTAGGCTCTAAACAGACATTGGGCAGCATATCATGCGTCACAGTACCCTAAAGTGTCAGCAAACTGCAATGCAGCCATCAAATCATCACTATCTTCAAAATGAAAATTACTTGCTTAAGCAATCCGGCTCTGTAAGATGCATCGGGTGATAAACATTCCCCTCTGTGAATAAACAGAACTTTCAAGATGACAGAAAGATTGGAAACTGAATGGCCCTTTCTGAGGTGAAGATGTTTAAAACAATGACAATTGATAAATAAATAGGTAACAACATAAGCTCATTTGACTTTCTCTCAGAAGAGCTAAAACTTCAAAACACAAAACATGTTTATGGTAAAATAGTATATGAAACAGAACTATTTCATAATGTTATGAATTGCATGATAGCAGCAATGGTTTAATTTTGGGATAAAAACAACCTAAGTCAGTGTCATCATTTGACGAAGTGCATGTAATGCACATTGAGTTGTGTACTATATATGTGTATACTATACACGTGTACTATTATTTACTATTAATTGTCCCAAAGCAAATATCAAATATCCAGATCAAATATAAGTTTCATTTATCACTTCATAGGGAAAGGCGCATTTATCCTTAATATTCTCAACCTCTTTTGGTTTCTGCTCAAATGGTTTTAGAGTGTTAAAAAGATTGACTGAATATAAACCTGGGTTTGGGTTTTTTAAATTACAATTGGCGTACTTGAATCAATGATAAAAGACCGGAAAATTGAAAACAGAGTAGCTTTATCTTCTAAATCAACCACAAGCACATCAAACAATAAGACAAAGTCATCAAAATCCCCCGCAATGGCAAAATACTCTTCATGAATATGTCTACGAGTTATGATTATGTTTGAATGTTTTGGCGTGTATATAGCAAAGTGGAAGGAGAGTACTGAGAGGTTTCAAAGTTTTGCTCCAGAAAGGAGCACTACCATCAAATTCAGTTGAAGCCAAAATTGTTGCCATGGAAATGCAACAAAAAAAAAATTATTCAGAAATCCAGTACTACCAAAAGGCACCAGTTCATCACTAGACCTACATATGTATGAAATTTGGTGATGAAACAGTGAACAGTTTTTAAGTTCTGCTCCGGAAAAGAGCACTACCACCAATTTCAGTCTAAGTCAAACTTGTTGCCATGGAAATGCACAAAATATTTTATTCAGAAATCTAAAACTACCAAAAGGCACCAGCAGACCACCAGATCTATCTATGTGCGAAGTTTGGTGAAGAAATAGTGAATGGTTTTAGAGTTATGCTCCAGAAAAGACAAATGTGCACGGACGCACGGACAGGTACATTTTAATACCTCCCGCAAAACGCGTTGCGGGGGATAATTAACATCCAGAATTAAAAATTGTAATAAAAAGAGTTTTAATAGAAATAGTGTCATTTGATAATCCAAAATGATATGAGATTAGTTATATAACAACATACTGGCAAACTGACTGACTGACTGACTGAGTTTAGTTTTACGTCGCTTTTAGCAATATTCCAGCAATATCACGGCAGGGGGACACCAGAAATGGGCTTAACACATTGTGCCCATGTGGGGAATCGAACCCGGGTCTTCGGCGTGACGAGCCAACGCTTTAACCACTAGGCTACCCCACCGCCCCATACTGGCAAACAAGGATAAGTTGAGAACCGACCTCACAATTGACCCGTATCAACATGTATGAATGCCGCCAACTGGCTCTTGCCATTGTGAGTGAAGGGGCCCCAGGTTGTCCGACTTGCTACACCGACCACGTGAGAGTCTTATGAGCAAGGTGTGTGCAGCTACGCGTGGAATCAATTTCATCCTCATCCACTGCATGTGCACTAACCTACATCTGCACTGCACGTGCACTAACCTACATCTGCACTACCTTTCACAAACCAAATGGGTTTGCTCATTGCCGTGCACCACCTACTACTTGTAAATGTGTTCTCTGTGCCGGTCCAACTTATCCTTGTTTGCCAGTAAGATTGTCAAAGGTAGGATCTTACCAGTCTTTATTACTTCTTCCGAAAGCCCACTGCTTTTTTCTTACGTTGTTGTTTCTTCTCCATCTGCTTTGGAACAGGATGAAACAGTGATGATCTCTTCTCCTCCTTCATTTTCAGCTCCTGGTAACACAGAATGAAATTTGATTTAATACCTCAAGACAGTTGTAAGTGTAATAAATAACAACTATCATGTACTAATTAATAACCCTTTGCAAAATTAAACTGTAGGTTATATGACAAGTGATCTAAAATGACGTGTTAACGGGATATTTGTAAGTTGAAGTAGTATCGGTGGACTCTAAACCTGACATATTGTGATAAAAGAGGTTAGTATTTGATCGACACAGGAAATTTTTACATGGAAGGAGTTTATTAAAACCATACACAGCGATGTCAGTAGTGGAGCTGAGAACAAACTTGAAAATATTAATAGTATTTCTGGTTGGGGTAAGCATTTTAAAATCACTGTTTAATATCATTGTCTGTGATTTTCTTATGTGATAACCCCAAAATGGCAATCACATGAATATGTTTCATCTTTGCTAATGTGCACTCCCTCACATGTTTCTCTTGTTTATTTTGCAATATGTATTCAAAATAGACATATAACCCTGGCTTATAAATATTTGGCATCATGGCGAATGGACAGAGGATGTGCAGCCATGGGCAGCAAGACATCATCACTTTGTGCCTGCCACTACACACAGATGTGACTTGAAAAATGCCACTGGTGTTAACATTTTCACTCGGAGCATAATCGTCTCCATGAGGCTGGTCTCCATTCATGGAGCATATGTAATCGTACCCCACTGATCTGATATCACAGGCAGGCATATTTTGACTCGACTGAGGATTATTTTGAATAGACAGGCAAATGGACAACAGGCAAAAGAATATTAGATAACGTCAACTAAGAAAACTAAAGGCAATAACATTTAAAATCAGTGTTGCACTTGTACTTACCTGAAAACTTTCAGCGATGAAGACAATGGTACAGTGAATGTGTTCAATGCAGTGCGCATCATGAAGTAGTCCAGCATCTGCATTACTACTTTTAGCAACTGCATCTTCATAAACTCCCTGTGGCCACAGAGTTTTCTCCATGAGTAAGGGCGCCAGTTTCTCATCTTGGCTGGCAAATCCTGACTGGATATACCGAAATACAATCTTCTTCAAAGCAGACATTAAAGCTTCTTGAAATTTGAAACCAGAGCACTTGACCAATGCACTTAACTGCTTTAAACATTCTTCTGGTAGTTCACTCCTGTATTTTTCTTCGAGGCCATCAAAAATGACATCAGCCACAATATCTTCTGTGAATTCATACACAGAAATGATTTGACTTAGTCTAATTCTACTACATAATCCATCCACTTCCTTTACTCTGTTTGGGAACAAGGACTGCCATGTTTGTAGGAATTCACTCAAGTACTGACTTTTGTCACTGCCAGATACTGGGGTTCTGTTCAGTAAACTAAATGTCATTTGCAAATAATCTAAAAGTATTTGCATATTTGATGGACTTTTTTCTTTCACTTGAAGAATGGAATTCTTCAGATCTTTGTCAACAGGATCATGACCAACAGTCCTTGAAACACTTTCAAACAATTCATCTGTTTTATGCAATGATTCACCAGCAAAGTTTATCAAGGGAAAATTTGATCCAATTTTTATCACTGGCTTGCTCAGTACACACTCATCAACAACCTGTGTTTCAATTTGGTACATGTCATAGTGTCTTTCTCTGCCATGCCCAAATTTTGTGCTTACCTGTGAGAATTTAAGAGTACTTGTCAAATCTGGCACTAGTATAACCTGTTTGGAATTGAGGTGTTGCAGTTGCACTTCAGGTACAACTGCAACCCCAGGTGACGTTTTGAGAAAGCTTACAGATAAGCTATTTGTAGACAAACACAAAGCTGCTGCGTCTGACAGAAAGTCATTCTGGATAGCTTGCAATGCCAACAGTAACTGCATCATAGGAGACTGTTTTGTCATCATTAAACAATCTTGAAGAAAGATGGTTTGATGAATTCTCTTTAATTCTGGCAAATGTTGATTGTAAGTCTTCAGATCATCATGATGATCTTTCAATGTATTCCAAGACTTCATGAAAGTGTCAAATTTCTTCTGCAACTCTGCCTTCTTGCTATCTGCATGCAGGAGCTGCTGTTGAGGTGCATGAATGAAATCTTGAACTGTCACAGTCCTGCAGCTCATTCTTGTCAGCTTGTGACTACCAAATCTAATGACACACTTATGCCACTGTACAATTGGGATCAAATGCTGTAGAAGTGATATGTGTTTCAGTCTATCAAACAGCAATGCCATCATGGGAAATTCATGCACTTGCTTCAGAATGTGAAATTCCCTTTGCAAGTTCTCTGTGGTGGGAATTACATGATCTCTCATTAATCTTGGTAGTTTTGCCAATCTGTCTTCATCCCAAGGTATTTCAGCCAAGAGTAATTCATGCCTTGAAGCAGTGCTGTCAGAATGTCTAGCATGGTATTGTTTTGTTTCATCCTGAACAATTTGGAACCGTTTCTCCATGATCTTATCAATACATGTGGTAAATTCCTTCTCGTATGATTCACGTTCATCTCTGCTGTGAAACTGAACATTATGTCTAGCAATGAGGGGCATGCAATCCTTGATGATAAAGTTCAACAGTTTTGACAATTGAGAATCACCAAGTGCAGTCAAACGTTTCAAAGCACACCAGTGCACATGAAGATGATTTTCAATGTAGCTTGAAGGATCAACAGATTCTGGCAAGTGCATTGCTTTTGAAAGATCTTCCTTAGTTGTAAACTTTAAAGCAAGTGATGCACAATAACAGCCATGTGCAAATAACTGTAGGACCCGGAATGCAGTAGGAGACAGACTTCCCACAGATACATATTCACTTTTCAGGCATCCAACATCAACAAATATGTACCCTTGTCTGTCATGACCTGTACTATCCATGGTTGAAATACGACACAAATCACTGTCTTGCAGAGGTTTTTCGCATATGCTGCACTGATGGTCTTCTATGGTCACATCATGGATTGTAACACTTTTACATGAACAGTTAGATCTGGCATACTTTGTCTTCTTTGTGACCAATGGGGCTAATGTACAGCAGCGCAAGTCTCCTTCTTTATAACCACATCCTGGAAGATAGATCTTTTGTAAATCTTTTGGAGCTTGTATACACCTCAGCCAAAATGGACTTTTTTGACTGACTGCTCCATAATTTGAATTAAAGGCAAGGACAGTGCATATCAAGTGCAAAATGCACATTGACAAATGGTGGTCTTCTGCTGATTTATTTGGATTGGTCTGTAACAACAGAAATGCAAAATCCTCCATTGTACACAAGTTTTTGAACATTTGTTGTTGATTGTCAAACAATCTGACATGACATTCTTTCCAGAACTCTTTCACTTTCTCGTTTCTTTCTGTATCAGTAATTCTTCGTACACTCTGTACAACATAGATTTTCTGAAGAGCAATAGCAAAGACACCATACACAATTTCAGGATTGGATTTTATGCTTTGAAGTATTTTCTTTAGTTGTGTGCTGTCTTTGGGTAATAAATCATATGCATCAAGAATCGAGGTATAGACATCCTGATAGGTCATTTCCATGGGACACAGTTCTAAAGCTAAGAATCTATGTTCATCTTTCATTTGAAATTCACTGACAAACGGCCACTCTGATGAATACTCACTGACAACTTCATCCAATTTCTTTAGGGCTGGGTCCTGAGTAATGACTTTCAAAAGGAAAGTTTGTAGCGACTTTGTTCTCATGTTTTTAAGTGAATCAGTATCAGATTCATCACAGCTGAAAATCCCATGAACCTTTTGAATGATGTGTACATCCATTGCCATATTTTTGTTCAACTCAGAGGCAAGATGTATCAAAAAGTTTTTCAGGTAGGCCAGTGCAAATAAATGATGTAAGGTTAATCCATCTGATTTAAAGATTTTGTCACACTTTAACACTTTCTCTAGTGTGTCGCTGTCTAAGGGAAAGCTCTGGGGACAAAAGTTTGTTTGCAGAACATCAAGCAGGAGACAAGCTAACTCAGAATCAGGTTTCCCATTGCCTTTGAAAGTATCAATGCAATCCTCCAAACACTGTAATACAGGTGACTCCTCAACTACATTTTCCTCCCTAAGGATATCTGATTCGATTTCAATCAACATAGTCTGAAAGATTGTTGGTCCAAAGTAGTCAAGTGAAGACTCAAATATTGATAGATTCTGCAAAGATTCGAATGTCCAATCCAGCAAAGAGTTTTCTGTGTCTGCAGCCAAGCAGTTGCTGATATAAATAGAAAAGAAATGCTGTAGAACACTGCAAGGTACTGATCCTGTTTTTAACAGTTCCTCAGCTAACTCACAAACTATATTAAAGACAGTCCTACTTTCAAGTGTATCAGATTTCAGTGCTTGGCCAAATCTGTGGAGGTAACTCATTGGTAACTTGAATGGAACCAAGACAACATATGTGAAGTCACTGCACATTCTTAGTGATAGGAAGACTTTTGACTGTGACACTTGTCCTGCAAGAGATAAAACCAGATTAACCCCATTTATCCATTTTTCTAAATCCAGTCTTGACAAGAGCTTTTCTGTAGGGATCATTTCTTGGCAGGCAAAACTCACTATGGCAGTGTTAACATCTTCACAGTCATCTGCACATGGCTGTTCATCTACATTTGACAGTTTGTCTTTGATCATTTCACTTTCATCTTCATCAGAAGTTGGTTTGTCTTCATATTGTATTTCATCAGGAGTTGGTGGCTTCAAATAGTCTTCCCTCTGGTAACAGATTTCATCTCCACTTTCTGTTTCAGATTCTAACTCTATGTCCATTACATCCACCACACTGCTTGTGCGCTCAGCATCTAGCTGTTCTTCTGCATCCTCATCTTGGACATACTTTTCCAATGCACCATGTTCCTCTGAGCTACCTGAAGGTACTTCTTTCAAACCTTCATTTGCTTGTTTCTGTGAATCAGATAAAGTTGCAGTGATAGAGAGGTTACTGCTTTGCAGAAAGTCAGCCATTTCTGTCTCTGTTAGGTCAAGGCACACATCAATTAGTTTGACCTCTGATTCGATGACTGGGCCATACAACCAACATGTGATATGCAAACTGCATACATCATATTCAAATGAATATCGTTTTCTTGTAAATCGTGACAAGATTGACCTCTCTGTTGCCTTTTCTCTCTGCTTTTCTGTCATTTGCAGTTTGATTCCTGAGAAGATGACATTACAAAAGTCATGAAAGTAGTCAGTAAACTGGTTGTCAGTGTAAGTATTTTCAAACATGTCCATTGCTGCCTGACTCACTGTGGGCTGGAATCGCATTGTCAATGTATCCTTGATTTCTTCATTAACTTCATCAATATCAAAGTCTGAATATTCAGCTCTGAAGGCATCCATGAAAGGTTCTTTCAAAGTTTCTATCTGATCAATGAACACTTTGCTGAAGGGGCACCTGAGCGAAAGTACACTGTCCAGAATGAGGTAACACTCAGGACCCTCTGGTGGTGGAACTGATTCAGTATCAATCATTGTTTTATCACGCGTGAGGTTTAACCAGACCTCTCTTTTTCTGTCTTTGTCTTCAGTATTGCACCACAAAGTCACAGAATCCCAAGCACTTGCAGCTTCAATTTTGTAAACATGGGCTGCTAATGGATGTTTTATACATGTTGAAACTTCATGTTCAAGAGCTTCATGTAGGGTAAGAAAATTGTAGAGCTTTAGTCTATCACATGCTACATCAAGTTGCCAGCACTGAGATTCATCTGCACATAATTGTTCCTCTAATGTGGAAGACACCAATTCCTCCAGGAATATCATCAATTTTGAATCACTCACTGTGGCATCAACTACATCCTTAAGACTCTCCAAACTCCTTGGTATGTCATGATAGTCAAGTAGGGTGAATGCCCAAAAGAGATGCTGCTTCAAAAAGGAGGTTATTGGGCGTCTGTCCTGAATAAGATGTATCTTCCTTTTATGCAGTAAGTCTTGAAGAGAGATCTCCCTATTGTCAAGGCTATCTATGAATGTCATATTCCATCCACTCAAAAAGTTTACAAAACTTAGAGTGTTTTCAGAGTCATTTCTGTCCATGTGCATAACAATAATGACATGTTTTGGGTCTTTGGGTCTTTTTTTGGATATGAAATCAGCCTGTTCTCGGTCTACAACAGATTTCATCAAGAGAATATTTTCCTGATCTGTACTTGCTGAGCACTGAATAACAAGCCATGTCTTGGAAGGGTCACTCCAAAAACTCCCTATTCTGGTACAAAGTTGCTTTTCAGATTTGAAAGCACCAAGCTTTTCACTTTGAATAACAACAGTACTCGTATCCACACATGCACTAACATTTGTGTGAAGATTGCTGTGAGTAAAGATTATTTCCTTCAAACAACATTCACTGTCTTCAAGTCTTGCATTCAGAAAATGTGCCAAACCACAGTGAACAGGCAAATGAAAGAACATGTCCTGCAGTTCTTGTACTTCATTAGGGTCTTTCTTTTGAAGTTCACTCAAATCCATTCGCACTACTGATTCTGGAGAACACATTGTCAGCATCATTCTTTTGCACATGTTCATATGATCAGTGGAGTCAGGTTCATTGCTCTGTTTTGAATATACAAAATGAACAAGTGAAGCAACCATGTCTGGGCTGTCTATGGGAATAACATCACACCTTGTAAATGTATGCCCTTGAATACTTGCAATTTCACGGAACCAGTCTTCTAAAACTGAGACTGCCTTCATTTCAGTTTGTGACAGCAATTCAGTCAGTTTCATATACTGTTTTTCAAATCTGTTCAAAAATGGTGGGTCTGATAGATCTAGTTTGTCCTCCTCTACCAACACAATGCATCGGAAGTCATCATGCACATGACACAATGGGTTGCTGTAAGCTCCAAGTGCAATGCGGCAATTCTTCTTTGAGCCTACAATTGTGTAATTCTGGTTGAGCATGTCATACAGACTACCATATATATTCTCCAAATCCTTCAAAATCAGTACCACCCCTTGCTCCATACACAGTATGATCTTGCTCAAAATACGATAATTGTAGTCATCTGTTAAATCCTCTTCAAAATGACTACCAAGGATTGACACAAACTTTCTGTTCTTTTCAGTTAGCAAATCTTCAATTATGCTCAAAGCAGATTCTCCTCTTGTTGACAAAAGTAAATGACGTGCAGATTTATCATTGATGTTATCAGCTACAAGTTCTAACACTGACGGAATGTCTTCCACCTCAGGGAAGTTGACAGAAAGCAACTTCTCCAAATGCTTTCTGTATACTGTCAGAACAGAGTGGATTTCACTGGACAGTCCCCCAAAGTTACGCAGCAATCCTTTCGTAATGATTTTTAACTGGACACATGAATCAACAGAGTCATGGTCAGATAAGGCACTGAATTCCTTTGAAACATATTTCACAAGTGAATAGAAGTCTCGAAGACCATGGAAATTCTTAAATGTCTGTTCTCCTGTATACTGCAAATAAGCATTTGCAATTGCTTGAACAAGATCTTCATTAATTTTTCTGTCACAGTGTTCTGATGAGTGCTGTGATGACAGACTCATTCTCTTCTGATTATCTGATACACTAGTCTCACTGATAGAAATTCCTGTAAGATATAGCTCTTTAGCGTCCATGTCAGGTCTTGAGAGATGAATAGCTCTATTCATCTTAGCTGCATCAAGAGCCCAGTTGGAAATACCAACAACAGCAACATTTGGAAGCTCTGTTTCCCCAGGTTCTAACAAACTATGAAGAACTTTTAGGGGATTAAATCTTGACATCTCTGCAAGTCCAATTTCATCCAAAATGACAACAGGTAGAACACTGTTGTCTTTGTCATTCTCTTTGTATTTCTCAGCTTTAGCAAATACCTTGAGGATACCGTCAGAGGTAGATGATTCAGATCCTTGGTATGACACACAGAACAACTGAGGCAAACTCTGGAAATATGGATCTTTTGAGTCTTTCCCCCTCAAGTTACTCTTAATCAGCTGCAGAGACAAAGATTTACTACAACCAGGTTTCCCTACAACAAACACAGGAATGTGATTAAGGATACAGACCAAAATGACAAATACATTTTCCTGGAGAGCTGTGTTTTTAGCAGTACCTTGGGGTAATTCCATTCTATTGAGAATGTCTCGTTGTTCACTTTGGATGATAGTTAAGATGTCATGCTCAGTTGTACTGACAAGATGTTTAGCAAAGATCATTGCAATTCGTTGTCTGTAGGTCTGTCTGCTACATGTGTCTGGTAGCCGAGAGTGGTATGAATGTGCTAATGCTAAGACCACAGAGAACCTTTCCATGTGAATACTCGAAGAAAAGCATGTCTCCTTTAATTTTTCCTTCTCTTTCAATGTCTTTTTAAACCAGTCAATCAACTTCCGACATCTACTCACATCACGAAGACTAACACATGATCCTGAGTGTTCCCGTTCACGGATAAAGCTCTGAGACATAACCAACAGTTCAACTACACAATTTTCTAAACTCTGCTGAACACAGCCAGTTATCATGCGCTTTATGTATGCCTTTTCATCGCTGTCACTCAGACTGCCATAATCCCATACAAAATCCACCATACTTTCTGGAAGAGGATTCACCCTGTACACCAGTCTAGACCTTTCATCTGCTTGCACTTTAGTCTCAAGTCCCGCAGTGAAAATACTCTGATCACTTCTTATCTTGTATGGATTACATGCTGCCATGACAACAAGATTGGGAGCAAGCCTCATACCATGGCATGTGTGATGGCAAAGAATTGCATTGATTAAACCAAGGTGGTTGCAAGTGTTGATTTCATCTAGAAACAGCCAAACTACGTCATCCAAGGAGTTCAAAGCTGTTTCATTCACTTCCAAAACACGTCTAATAATCTCATCTTCTACAATCCCGGCATGTATGTTCTGTATCTTTAGATCTACTCCACAGATCACAGACAAATATCTGATCAAACTTGTTTTTCCACACCCAGTTTCCCCAATGATGATGACAGGAACATGAGCCCTCGTTCGTAGTATGATTAGTATCATTTTCAATAGATTGTCAGGTGTCAGAGCATAAGACGAACTCATGTGATTCTTAACCTTATCAGATGTTGCTCCAGGTTTGAATCTGGCAATTCGTTGCAACATATCTTGAAGTTCTGTTTGACTTAGTTTTGAGAACTCAGGCATAACAGCTTTCACTTGTGTTTCAAAGAGTGTTTTCACATGTACAGGTACCAAACTTTTGTTCCTGTAAAGAGCAGAAAGTGTTTGAATGTCTTGATTGTGAAATGCAATCAGTAAATGATTACTTTCCTCCCACTGTATCATGGCTTCCACACGTTTTGTCATTGCTGAAGCTGAAGCAGAAGTAGCTACTAGATTTTCCACACTCTGATTGATATCAGCAGATTGACTCATTGTTAGAACACTGGCTGTCTGATCTTCCCGACATGCATGAACAGATCTTGTAGCAAATTCCCTTGACACATCAAGGAGAGCCCTGAACAACTGACTCTTAACATCTTTCAAATGTGCATCTCCACCAAGCATTCCAGATATGTTTGTTGTCCTGAAAAAGTAACTGCATGAAAACTTTTTCAATTGATCCGACAACACATTTAAAAATGTTCTCACGAGAGTGAAGGATATATCTGTTCCACTTGAAAAATACTTCTTGAGCATTTCTGTACACTTTTCCTGTGGCAAGGGCCTGCATCCAGCTTCACCGGTAAAGTACAAGTCAGTGGTGTCCAGTTTCCCACAGTCATACGCTTGCAAGTAGTGACAGACAACTTGCACAGGGCTGCATGTTTCATTGCTTACACAAAAATTTGCATAATTTTGCCATTTGAGCACTTCTCTTCTGAAACACAAAACTGTATTTAATGAGTTTCTAAGACTGTTACTGATAGTGTTCGCTACCTCAATACAAATTGTTTTTGTTGTGAGTTTCACTAGATCAGATCCATGGGAAACAAAACCTAGCACTATCAACTGAGTGAGAAGCAGATCCACTTCCTTGGGTTTAGAAAGCATTCCAATATCAATGTGAAGCAGATCTGATGATGTCAAATCAAGGTCGGACATCTTTTTCACAAGTTCTTTTGGGGTCATTTCTCCACTGACATGCAATGAGCAGACTCTCTTTTGTTTTGACCATGCCAGTTCCTGGATATATTCTGATTTTCCTTGACCTGGGACATCTGATAAGACAGTGACAACATCAGGCCATAATGTTTGAAGACATTCTTCCATTGCTGATTGTGACATTGGCTGCACTTGATGAACATTTTCTCCAAAATGATCTAAAAAGGAGTGATGAGCATTTCCTCTACAAATTATTGCCAGCAGGTAAGACTCTTCCTCCATTGTTTCAAGTATATCAACAAGCCTAAATTGAAGTTCACTTGACAGATTTTCAACACAGACAATGGAGAAGAGCTGATTTGGTTTCTTTTCCCTTTTTGCACCTAGACATCTTCGTATGAGAAGTTCAATGTCTTCCCAAAGTGTATCCTCTTGACAGAAAAGTACTTGGCTTGACATTGGTAAACATCTAGTTGTGTTTTTGTACAAAGCTAACAGAGTTGGTACAACAAGGTCACTATCATCATTCAAACCCACTAGAAATAATTCACCTTCCTGAACTGCGTCAGCGACCCTTCCAGATTTAGTATCAGGAAATGGAGTCAACATTGTTGTTTTACCTTGAAACAAGATCTCTAACGTTTTTCCAACACTTTTCAGTCCAAAGGCATCATGTCCTATATCCTCCTGAACGTGGGAATATATGTCATTTCCTCCTGATAAATGTTTTAAGTCATAACCAGTAAAGGACAAAAGATCGGATATTTCTGTATCCACTTTACTGTGTATTGCTTTGAAGTGATTTTCAATTTGACGCAATTGTTCAGGATAAAAAGTTGAGCCAATAATATTGGTTTCTACTATCTCTTAATGCACTTTGCCAATTCACTAGTGTATTGCCATATTCAGTGGCACATTGCTGCAGATCTATTATGTTCAATGACACTGTGTATTTATCAGGATATTCTGGATGACCTGACTGACAGAGTTCAGTCAAAATTGAAACAATATTCATGGCATCATCAACAGACTGTTTAAATACTTCAAAATCTTCTTTGATCTTGTCCTGTTTTTTGGCTTTGCCTTTCTCTTTCACATCTGTATTCATTAACATAACTCTGCTTCTCAAGTCACTAATGTCAGAGTGTGTATGAGTCCTTGTTGTGTTGTGACTCCTGTACTTCAGATTTAAATCACATCCAGACTGGGATAATGTAAATACATACTTTGATCCTTGCTGGACAGCTTTCTTGACAATTTCTTTTGTAACTTCACCCCTGTTGGCAACATTATGAAAAAGAGCCTTTAGGCTGTGAAGGTGGGTGTTACACTCAGAAATCTTTTGATCCAGGTTGGTTATTTTTGAATCAGTCAGTGACTTCTGCAGCATTGTCAACACATGTTTCACTTCTGAATGGGGAGTTTCCCTAAGTATTGGGCTGAGAAATCTTTTCACATTTATCAGAGCAGACACAGTTGATTCTTGCACAGACTGTTCTGAGTGCTCCTCCACAGCATCAATTAGGTTACGCAGATCTTCCAAGGCGGTCTCTCGAAGAAAGTCTACAAGAAAAGATGATTTTGAAAGTTCCTCCAAAATATTTGAAAGTTCACCTTGAAGTATCTCACTTATCTGACTCAATATGTTTCCAGTCTCAAACAGCTGTCTCAGTGTTAGGTCATCCACATTATTTTCTTCAAGAGATGTAAATGCTTGCACAGATTCTGCAAATGTTTCCTCCAATTCCTGTAAGTGAAGTATTTTCAACACCTTCCTCAATATTTCAACTCTAGCAGAATACTCAAAGTATTTGTCAAACATGTGAACTGCTTTCTTTACCCAATCCTTTAACAACCTGTCAAAATGACATTCTGCTACTGACTGTTCAGATAGACTGTCATCAACATCAAGCAGGGGCCGCATGTCACCTATTCTTTGATCAGAGCCATCAAAAAGGGGCCTCCACATATTTTCATAGTCTCTTATACATTCAGAAGCAAGCATTCCCATCACCTTCACAGTTACATAAGGGTTATCATCTTCAATTCTGTCTTCTCCAAACAGCTGGCAAATGTCGTCTTCCGGATTTGAAGGCATAACTGTTTCTAAAATATCAGGAATTGATAACCACTTGTTTATCACTGTTTTAGAGATTTTCCAAAAACTTTGTGACTTTGAAACATTGAAAATATGATCACTAGACCTCAGGATATCACAGAAAGGGCCCCAAAATGAATGATCAAGAAGAGCTGATACAACTACTGATCCCGCCTGTACTTCTGTGTGCATTTCCTGAAACATTTTAAATGCAATTTTTAAATCAGGCAATTTTCCCCCAAAGAGATGTTTAAATTTGTTCAAAATATTAGAAATGAATTCGTCATCACGTTCTGCCCTTTTCCTAGCTTCAGGTAACAGTGACAGTGCTTTATCCAAGTCTTCTTTCTTGTAGACTGTACCAGAAACTAAAAGCATTTTGGTACACTTAGAATAGCCATCTTTCACTACTGCATGTAATTTCTTTGAAAATAGGAGGGACAATGTGTTAGAACACAACTTTTGTGCCATCTGGGCAGAAGCCCTACAAGCTTTTCCAAGGACAACATTTGTCTTTAGGAATTCATATTGCTCTGCCATTTCCAGAAGGTTTGTCCAGAACTCCACATTTTTCAACATCTGAAGAAAGCAGGTTTCATCATTCTTTGTTTCCAGTAAGCCACATTGTTCGATGCATTTCACCAGCATCTTTTCATACAATCTGAAAAAATATGCAAAATTAATACAATGTCATATTCTAAACAAAAAAAAAGAAACTTCACATGAGTTACTTTATGTTCCAAACATACCATATACGAAATGTGTTACAAGTGGATAAATCTGGCTTATGGACATAATGAGCGGACAATAAAAGAGGATTAAGCATAAGTACAGTACCTGATCTTACCTGCCGTCATGTTGGGATGCTGGTAACACAAGTTACCAGCATCCCAACAAGACCCTCGAATAAGCAGTCTTCCTATGCGTATACATTCAAAATTTCTTAGCACACTTATAAACCTTGATGGTGTTGTTATAGGGACTAATTCAGGACAGCCTTCGTCCAAATATTTAAAAAGTAAAAACTATGTACTCAAGACATGTGAGACTTTATTGTAATTATTTATATGATACTAATCTGTATTCTATGCAATCCTTATCACTTCCGCATTGTACATTGACATTATCAGGCAATTAATTACTGTATATGACATTTATAGCCCTAATTGGTCATCCCCTTTGGCCGTGTCTGCCATCACATCAACTGGTCAAGGAAGTGCTATTATCTTTCTGTCTGTCCATTTTTGAGTCGTCACCTGTCCATTGTTGTCAAAAACTGTATATATATGCTTACATCTACAAGTATATTGAATAAAAACAGAACGAGTCCGGTATTCCGACTGCCTGTGTAGGACGTCTGTGAGCAGGATACTGCCACTCGTAGGAAACACCCTGGGGTTGGCAGGTACTCCGCTCACCTCATTTATGTATTGTATATTTGTTTGTCATGTAACTGAAGAAGTTTGAACTCAACATATTCCTTCGTCTTGTCAACGTGTTGTACGTACACTTCGTCTTAATCCCGAGCTAGTTCCCCACACATTGACAGTGTGAATACATTGAATGCACGGGATTTACTTATCAATACAGGTTATTGATCAACTCAATCTGGTGATGTAATGTCTGACAGGTCACGTAAACACGTGTTTCACGTGCATGACCTCGGGTCAGATTTACTGTGGATGTCGAGTTTGTAAACCTTGAGGGAACATCTCAAAACTCAAAATGGCACTCATTGTGTTCCTCCAGTGTCTGGCAGGACAGGTAGCAGCTGTCCTGTTAGTAGTGTTACACACTCCGTGAAGACAGTAGTGTTCATTTATTGAAGGATATACGCTCCTCATCTGCTTTTTTCCTTGGGCTACTCTGGGACTTGGGCGGGTCATTTATGAAATTTATGGATCCATCCAGACCAGATATACATGAACCTTAAAAGTAAGAATTTCCTATCTAGACCATGTGGTACATTGATCAACATTGTGGTACTTCTTGTTCTTCCTGATAGTGTAAGTAACTCTAAAAACCCTGTCAACCCTGCATAAAGCTCCCAGATTATCGTATTAATGAAAGGACTTCTCATTTCAGATGTCATAAAATATGCAATTACTGTTATTTCGATACAGTCATGGAGTTACTTCATACAATTAGGTACAAATTGTCTGAACCAAAATATATTTTGTACACATATTTTAATGTAGCTTAGTACCTTTAAAATGAACTCTATACTTATCCCTACGCTAAAGAAACGAGCCCTACAAGAGGACGGAAAATAATCAGGAACTCAAATTACATCAAAGTGAAAAACATGGTGAAATTACATTTCTGAACATACCTGCATCGTACATTCCTTGAATTTTCTGCAGTGGTACAGGTAAATTAGTAATGATACCACATAAACAATGTTTTCATCCCAGGGACCTTTACACTTGGTAAACAAGTTGTGTTTTATAATTTTTATATTAAAACTAACAACACTAATACAATATTCTTCACAGTTACCAACATCCTTCACCCTGCGTTACTGACATCCCCACACGTTTTTTTAAAATGCATATTCTTCAACACATAGAGATCAATAAGACAAGAGTCATCAGAAGATGACATATCCCCCCGGCCCCCACATATTTGAAAGAACAAATCATCTGACAGTTACTTAAAGTCCAGCTTGATTGTCCAAATCATTTCCATGGAAATCAAGAGTAATATAAATGCCAAAAATCTGTAAATAGCAAAAGGTACCATTTCAAAATTTGCCTAATATATCTACCAAGTTCTGATGAAAGATATTGAATGCTTTTCAAGATGTGCTCCGGAAACGAAGCCCCTCCCTGTTGGGACTAAGTCCGAATCGTTTCCATCGAAACCGGGAAAAATAAATCTGCCAAATAGCAAAAGGTACCACTTTGGAATCTGCCTCACATATATGCCAAGATCTGCTGAATGATTTCATTTCTGAAGTTTTCGAGTAGTGCTCCGGAAACGAAACCCACCCCTCCCCTGAGACTAAGTCCGAATTGTTTCCATGGAAATCGAGAAAATAATCAATCACAAATATCTGCAAATAGCAAAAGGCACCACTTCAAGATCTGTCTCATATATCTGCCAAGTTTTGCTGAAAGATATTAAGAAGATATTACATGCCGGGGGGATAAAGATTTAGTGCATTCAATGTATGTAGTACTACACCATCAAAGTTTATCAGTGTGCTAAATAATTGTGATTGTATGCACGTGTAAGACTGTTAATTCGAGGGAAATAATCGCCAAGCGATCTTACCTGTTGCTATGTTGTAAATAGATTAGGGGTGTGGTGCACCCTCAACAGTCAAAAGCAGCATGACTTTTTTATTTCACCGACACTAGCCAACTTGTTCAATACTGTCTATGGACGCCTCTCGCATTCACAACAGCAAGGCAACATTGTCTCATTGACTGCCTAACACCTGTGAACACAGCATGAGACAACCTGCAACATTGATGTGTCAACATGGACTTAACAGTCTGAGATGTCTCAAAGCATGAAGACTTCTTTCTAGAGCATCCCAAGCGTGTTCGATGGGACTGAGATCAGGTGATCTTGATGGGCACTTTGTGACGTCAATACTAGCATTTTGCAGGAAATTTGGTGTCAAAACTGTTGTGTGTGGTGTTGCATTGTCATTGCTTAACGCCTCATCAGCAATTTTCCAACTATTTATGGCGATTTAATGTTGAAACTGGGAGGCCTGGGATTGATATTCACTGCTCAGACACCATGCTCACATTTTTCTGTTGGCAAATAGCAGCACACTAGTAAAACCTGATTTATAACCCCATTTCCATTTCCAGAAGTTCAGTATGTGTTATGTCTATAAACCAATTTTATCCACTAGCAACACACATTGTTCTAGTAAGTGTTTTACATAAAGTAACACATGTGAAGTACTGTTTTTGTTCAGACATAACTGTAGATAACTAAGGATCAGCAAAATGATTTTGTAGACATTGGTTGACCTAAGTAAAGCTTACACTTTCATCTCTTATCACTATTGTTCTTTTGGTAAAAAAACAAAGGAGTGGTTTGGAAAGCTGGCCAGTGTTGGGGAAGAGGTGGTCTGGTAATAGTATTTGCTCTACCCTTGGAAAGGTTTAGCCTTAGTATTTGCATTGTGAAATCGGGCCAGTAGACTATCCTTGTTTAGGAGACATTTACAACTGATACTTTCTTTTGAGAAGTCATTGCTGGAAAAATATTCTTACATTAAGCAGTCGACAAAAGGAAAAAAGTCAGCAAATTTACAAAGAATGTGCAGATATGCAAACATCAATCAATCGGAGGGCTTGCTTCGACCACACCCCCATTTTGTCTGGAAATATCGCCATCCATTTGTGTCAAGATCGTTTAGTTGAGTGTGAAAATTGGGTTTCAATCGACTTGCAGAAATAACAACAAATAATTGGTAGGTGCCATGAGTGGTGGTCGATAGGCCAATCATCCATGATAATGTCTACATTAAGTTTTAATTGATTGCATGCGATGGTAGCATAGCGATTGGCAAAGAAGGCGGGTGGGGTACACCGAAGTGTCCGGCCTTGTCATAATGTATTGTACTGTGAGGCATTTTGAGTCAGGCGGCATTTCGAGTCAGGAGTCATCTCAAAATCTTTAATCCTCGCAAAGACACGAGGGCCTGTGGTATGCACTAGGTCCACAGATGAATTTACATGCCATCTGTATGAAAGAGGAGTTTTGAAGAGAAAACCACCAGACTACTGCCAAACAATGGGAAGGATAGCATCGTCCAAAACCAATCATAACAATAATCTTTATCTTAAAATAGCCACTGGTTAACTAATACTTACTTTGAATAGTTTCTGCTTTGTGAATATCCAATCCAGGATGAAGTTCCAGCTTTAGATAGAATTATACCTATCATATCCGCCTGTTTTCCTTCTAACAGATAAGTCTGTAAATGTTCAGCAAAAACTTCCTGGCAGTGTGAATCTTCTACAAAATCAGTTTCAAGTAACTTGTCAACTAAGCTTTGCACATTTATTGTGTTCAAGAACATAAATGCTCTATCTTTCAAACACTGGACAAGCATACAATTGCATGAAACACAATTTGCAGACAAAGCACAGCCCAGATATTCATAGACATGTGGTAAATCATCAATTGGTCTGTCATATTGGCTATCTCTACAGTGTAACTGAATAGCTTTTTCAAACCATTTCTGGGTCAGATCAGGAAGGAAATCTTCCCTGCAACCATCCAAAAAGTCATGTTTCAACATCTCTGTGAACAAAGAGTGCAACAATTTGTTGCCTGACGCTGCCAGTAATTTCAAGACTTCAACACGAGAGGAAGGTTCAACAAAGAGATTGTCTGCAAGCAAAAGTGTCTGTAATTTGTGGCAGTCAAAATCATGAGTCTTGTGGGTGTTTTCACACATACCAATCACTTTCTGTTCCATATATCTGGCAATATCTCCTTTAACTTTTTCCCATTTGGAAAGCACTTCATGGAGCGCAACCATCTGCCCAATGTTTCTTGTCTTCATTAGAGAAGAGCATTCTTTCTCCACTTTCATACGAATGATAGTCTGGGTATCTGTTTTGAAAGAGCTTACATTTTCTTCCTCTGCCAGGGCAAATTCCAACGGTAAGTGCTGTAGCAATCTCTCAAGGAACTGGCAATATGAGGGTTCATCATCTGTGCTCACAAGACTGTGTGTTCCTCTGAGAACCGATCTCACGTGTTCAATGTCATGTACCTTGAATGTATTTGTTGAAATAGATTTCTGCAAGAGCTCGGAGAAATATTCAGGTGAAAACAGATGAAAGCAGTATTCCAGGACAGTGAAGAAGTGGCATGGACTTTTAGGAAATGGAACTTGACACAAACTTTCTGCAATCCACTGGAAAGCTGATAACATTGTGCTTGGGATGTCCTTTACAGAAATCATCTTGAAGCCTTTCAGGATTGACTGACAGATGGTTGGTGAAACCCAATGTGAACGCCTGATGTAATCTTGATTCGTAGAGAGTTTACTATAAACATATCCCAAGGCACTCAAGCTGCCAGGTGACATGCTGTGTATTTGATGTTCAAAACAGTTTTTCATCAACCTGAAGATTGATTCAATATCTCTGTGGTCCTTAAATATATTCTTTGTAAGGTCTTCAATTTGCATGAGAGCATCTTTATATCCATATGCTGAGATATTCATTAAAATGTGACTAACATGACCACAAAAACCTTCTTCATAGTCATATAGGCCTTCAATGCAACGGAATATGTTATTTGTTCCCATTTCATGCAAAGCATATGCTTTTTCGTGATATATTCGTGATACCCATTTATTGCTGTAACATATTCTGACTCCACAAAAAAGGTCATCAGCATCTGGAGGGAAGTCTACCTTCTGACTGGTCCACATATTTTCATCCAAAGACATCATTTTTACAGAGATATATCCACCAGCTTTAGATGAAAAATCAGCAAACACATCTTTGATATATTTCTTTTTCACTTCACTAGCAGGAATGTAGAAAAGTGCTTCTTTCTTGAGAATCTGAAATGATCATACAAAACAAAAGGCTAATTAAATGGGATTTTCTGAATAATTGTAATACAATTCTACTTAAATTCAATTTTTATGATGAACTTATGATGATTTTATGTAAAATGAAATGAGTTTTTAGAGGTCATCTGTTTAAAAGAATACCGGTAATTGATTATTGATGTCTTCACAAACTTACATGCAAATTTAATTGTATATTTGGGCAATGTTTAAGGCAATTAGTAGTCCTTTCATACCCTGAATAACACTTGTAGACTTACATATTTATCCAATGATCCATAATCAGCTCAACTTGAATAGTTTGGCATATATAATACATTTATAATTCCTCAAAGTTAGATTGACCATTCAGGGAGCTGAACTACAGTCAGTTTGTCTCCACATTGAGAATGATGAATTGGAAAATGCTTCAGAATCTGGAATAGTCTATCAAATGTCAAAGGGTAAATGGCAATGAATACTTTGTGCTCAAAAATATCTGCTGTTTTATACCCATCACTTGAAAAAGTTCTTTACAAAACTATCACATTGTTACATTGTCACAAGTTGATGTTTTTAGCGGTAGGCACTCAATGGTAGGAGGATCATACACATGCTACAGAATGGTACAGGGAATGACAGCATGACACTATTCTTGATTTTCGGATGTTTCGCAATTCATCATTTTCATTTGGAGACAAACAGATTGTAATTCAATTTTCTATTTTAGTTGTATAGTCCACAGGTCCTTGTACAATTTAAACAAGCATTGTCACTAAGTATACGTTAGCACCCTCCTCAAGGGTAATATGGATTTCAACGCTCGAGCCGTCAGGCGCAGAAGGGGGGTGCTAACCTACTTATACCACGTGGGCGCCAAATGGACTCGTACATTGCTTGTTGCACGTGCGTTTCCTGCACCGCCAAGGTTGTTATCCACATATCAACCTCTGCACGTGCAGATAGAAGGTTGATACACAGAAAATCAACCTGCCAGGACAATGGACATAACATACCCTAGTGGTATAAGGTGACATAATCCCCTGCCGCAAATTATCAAATCAAACTTATAAAGTAATGAAAGTTTAAGTTAAATGGCAACAAGAAGACAAAGTCATCAATATCCCTCACAATGGAAAATACTCTTCATGATTATGTCTACGAGTTATGATTATGTCAAATATTTAGGTGTGTATATAGAAAAGTGGAAGGAGAGTATTGAAAGGTTTTTAAAGTTCTGCTCAAGAAAGGAGCACTATCACCAATTTCAGTCTGTGTCAAAGGTGTTGCCATGGAAATGCCAAAAATATTTTATTCAGAAATCCAAAACTACCAAAAGGCACTAGAACACCACAAGATCTATCTATGAAATATGCAAAAATAGTACTAAAGAAATTGCTTTTTGAAAAACATTTAAGGGAAGTCTTGAAAGTCTTTGAAGAAAATCCAGTGAACTGTTTTTGAAAGTGTCGCCATGACCTTGAAAATTATGTGAAGGTCACCAAAATCGACTGGGCCCTGCGCCTTCCCTAGATAAAGCTTTGTATTGAATATGAAGAAAATCCAGTGAACGGTTCATGAGATAGCTTAACATGCAGGTTTACATGCTGAAATCTTCAAAGTGTCTCTGTGACCTTGAAAATTAAGTGAAGGTCACCAAAATCGACTGGGCATTGCGCCTTCCCTAGATAAAGCTTGGTATTGAATGTGAAGAAAATCCAGAGAACAGTTCTTGAGATAGCTTAACATGCAGGTTTACATGCTGAAAGCTTCAAAGTGTCGCCATGACCTTGAAAATTATGTGAAGGTCACCAAACTCGACTGGGCCTTGCGCCTTTTCGAGATAAAGCTTGGTATTGAATATGAAGAAAATCCACCTAACGGTTCTTGAGATAGCTTAACATGCAGGTAAAACGTTAAAGTCCCCTTGTGACCTTGAAATTAAGGTCAAGGTCACCAAACCTGACTTGGACCTTTTTCATACTGTGATGAACCTAAGTACCAATTATGAAAAGAATCTAGTGAACGGTTCTTAAGATATTCCAGTTCGTACGTACGTACGGACGGACGGAGCCCAATACTACATCCCCCGCTTCGCGCTAAACGCACGGCGGGGGATAATAAACATTTTATGAGTTTAGTGACAGTATGTCTTAGACAGTGACATTTGTTAACATAGTTGAGATTTACATAATGTGCTTTTGAACAGTTTCTAAGAATGTGTACACAATTACTGTTAATCCAAAATATTATCACCATTGTTAATTTGTAGATACACTAGCAAAACAATTGCTACAAATCATAGCCTTGACACTCAAACATGAAGTAGATTTCATTCTCATCTGAACCACATCAACACCTTTACATCCCATGAAACACTTCAGTATCAGCAAATTTAATCACAATTAATATCATTTGTCTGATTAATGAAGCTTAGACAACAATCAATATTTAATAAGGATTTATTTTCTTTAAGTTATCTTATATTCAATGACTGATCAGTATTAAAAAGAATATACTGCCTATCAAAATCCATTACGTAGAGGGTAATGTCCGAGTAACTCTCCATTCCTTAAAAATAATGGAGCCAAGGCCCCGGAGGGGCTGAGGCACATTATTTTTAAGGAATGGAGAGTTACTCGGATATTACCTTACTTAAATTACATTCAAAGTATTGGTAATATTTCTGTTATCCAAATTAAATGTCAAAATGACAAAATGAAGTCTTTAATTTGAAACTGATACACATCGCTCCATTCCTGAAAAGTAATGGAGCGAGCAGACAATGGAATGACGTCACAAATGTAATTTAATCAGGCCTTATGAATAGAAAGCGAAACAGTGTAATGTTACTGAAATCCTGACGGTACCAAACAAATGAAAAAACATATGAACACAGCAAATATTTATCAGATATAGCCAAGGTAACTCTTCAAGCAATATCTAAAATCCTCATACATAAAAATAACAGTTTAGGGTAGTGATCTTTAGATATACTTACCAACTTGCACAAGCAAATAAAACATTTTTCACTATACTTTACATGTATTAACTCTACCACAATCTGCAAACATACCATTACTGGAAACCTAACAATATTTACAAAAGTTTAAAAGGGGCACTGATCCAGAGCAGTTAATGTTTCATGCCAACAATCTAATTACGTCAGGTGGTGTGTCCCTGCTCCTTCGACCATCACAGTCACAGAGACTGGGCAGTAGTATTATAATGATGGTTCTATTACAGGGTACCCTATTGGTATTATTTTGGCTTAATTCCGTTCCCAGTGTCCAGTAAAAAATGATGATTTTTGAGCAGAGACATTGCTCAATGTACAGACAAGCTCGCCAGCTTAGGCCCGTTCAATTTGCCTCGTGTTTGACAGCCATTCCCGCCAGCATAATAAGTTCGTTTCGGACGTGGCATGCCTGTAGACAGCAGCTGACTACCAAGGGTCGGGTTGAACTATTTTTACTTTATGCGCCTGTGTCCGTATGCGTAAGTGGTGACACCATCAATGGCGATCCATCGTTTCGTGTCCATGGGCGACAGCGACATTTTGTTGAGGGTGATCCCGTAGATTTTGTGTTTGTCGCTTCTCAACGCATTCATTTGATGTTTGAACGTTTTATTCTTGAAGAAAGCTTGTTTGAAGAGGGTGTGTTTGATGCGTTGTTTCACGACGTATTTCTTGACCCCTTTGGCTTTTTTTATTTCGGCGGAGCCGGCTTTCTTGATCGAATACATCTTAGGTCTTAACCCAATGTATTCCGCGATGGGTGTCCCAGCACATTCGTCTTTCATCTTGCAGAGGGACTTTTTATTCGTTTTGTCGTGTAGGGCGTGGTCTGGGGGGTAATGACTTGTATCGTACAGGTGGATGTGGTTTGCCATGTCCTCGTACACGTCCTCGGTACGAATTTCCATCAACAACGAATCGGTGTTGGTATACAACACCTCGCATCGATCACCGTATTGTGTCTTAAGTTTATTGTAATAAAAGTCGTACATAAGGTACTTAGACAGGTCGAGGATGCTCATCCCCACGTAGACGGGCCGGTTCAATTTGATATGGCTTTTCGTCATATGTAGCGCTGCCAAGTTGTTATCAAATAGCTTACTTCGGTTAAAGGCTGGACTCACTATGAGTTTCCTTAGTTTTTCCTCCTGGTGTGATCTGACTAATTTTACATGATGCGCTTCCTTAAATTGTCCATGGTTTTTCCAAATACAGAGTTGTTCATCAGTTTGTAGAGGTTTTTCTCAAAGTCGCTCGTGGCTTGTTTTCTCAATTCTGTGTTCAACCGAATGAAAGGCTCCATCCAGGGACTTTGATCAAATTTTAGAACCCAATGTATTTTGGTAAGCTTCATTCCCAGCGATAAGTACAGTTGCAGATTCCGATAGTGAACAACATATTTTTTTCTTGTTCATCAAGTTAGGTATGAGTTTTTCCATGTTAGCAAGTTTGTTATCTCCCAACAAGTTTCGTTGATATTCGGACATCCAGTCTTGGTCAACCTTTAATCGTTCGGGAGCCAGCGGATAACTGTTGTGAGATGCATGCAATTCTTCGGGATAGTCCAAGTCCACTTCGAATACTAGTATGTATCCTCTCTCGAAGTTTTCAGGGATAGCCATAATGTTCTTCGGATTACATTTTTTGTTATCAACTCACTCGAACCCGCCCGTGGGTAAAGGCTGACTCATAGCCCAGCCGTAAAGATTATTGGCATCGAGATAGAGGAGATGGTTGGAGGGTTGATTCGGATTATAGTTTGTCATATATTTATGATTGGCTTTCGCATAGCGTTTCGATACCATGGAAATCCCGCCGCACACTCCTTTCTCGATAAACAGGAGCATATCGTAATCCATTAACAATTCCCATTTGACTCTTGTTTTCTTCAAGAGTGCATCCCACGACAGACCGGGGCTGGTGTAGTACCAAGCGGGGTCGAGTTGATATTGTTTCAAACACATCTTTCTAAAAATTTCGAAGACGTCGGCCA